GTTACTTTCGGCTTTTTGTTAATTATTTATTTCTTTTAATTATCTGATTATAATGTGTTTTTATTATTCTGTCGTGACTGAGCGTAAGGTATTTAAATGATAAGAAAGGCGAGATTGAAAAATAATAACAACTTTATTGTATAGTAAAGTAATATAGATATGAAATTTGAAATGATACAAATTACAAATGGATTTAGAGTTAGTTGTCAAGTAATTTAGATGAAAATTACAAATGAAAATTGAACAAAAACGTTTATAAAAAGGATTTTCTTCTCAATGCGGATCAATACACCTTAAATGTTAACAAAAATACTTATGTTGATAAAGCGATACTAACTAGTTTAGAAACCTTCTTTGTCTTTTTCGATTACTTCGTGGTGTTCTATAATTTTTACAATACTTGTAATTCTCTGAAAAAATTCTTTTCGCTTACTGTTTCGTTGTCGCAGAATGCCAACACCCTTCTTTTGTAAATAAATGAACTCGATATCTGTTTTATGAATTTTGAAAGAATTTCAACGTTATTAACTATGAAATATTTAATTAATTTTAAAATATGTTTTAAAGTCTTCAATAGTTTCTGAGTTTCCTTAAAACACCAGGGGCGCGACAATAACACACACATAACAATACAAACATATATTTACACACTCACAGCTACTCTAATTATCGATATTTATTTATTTTTTCATTTATTTATTTTACAATTTAACGAGCGCAGGCACTCTTTTATACAAAAATGTAGAATGTTAAGGACGCATTTTGACATAAGTTCATACAAATTTGACTACTAACAAACCAGGAATGTAATTGCACCAAGTTATTGATATTCCTTTGAGGTTTTTAAGAAATCATACTCTTGTCATGAGTGTAGTAAAAAAACTGCATTTAAATAGACGAATAATTAGCCAAGAAACAATGTCGTTCGTTATTTGAAGAGTTTTCCTAGCAATAGATATGTGATAGGTATTTCAGCAAATTTTCTAGTACGACTAATATTTATTTAAATAAATTTCGTATATATAATTAGAAAAAGTCACTAATTTTTGGTATCTATCAGATATTCAAGATGGAAGGAAGAGATATAAAACAAAAGTTAGCGCAGGGCCAAGTCGTCTTAGCAAAACCAAGTTATTTGTATATATTATTATTATTAATATTATAATGGTTTGAATATACCAAATGGATCGTGCGAAGGGGATGAAACTGGGCAATTCACTTTTATAGGAAAGGGCAAATCTGTTATAGATTATGCATTTGTTAACAGTAGAGGTTGGGAAGAAGTACAGAGCTTCAGAATCCAAGCTATGACAGACTCAGACCATCTGCCCTTGGAGGTGATGTTGAAAGCGGATAGGGTGGCAATGGAATATAAGGAGAATATAGATTGGAGCCAGAGAGTAATTGTAGAATATAGGAAAAGAGTGGAAGAAGAGTGGGGGAGATTAATGAGTGGAACGATATGATAGAGGTGATGAAAGATGGTATGATTAGTAGGAGTATAAGGGTGTCTGGTAAGAATGAGGAATGCTGGAGGAAAAGAGTAGAGTATAAGGAAGCGTTGAATAGGTGGACAAGAGATGAATGAGGCGAGGAAGAGTTTAAAAGAATTCGAGCTCAATATAAAGAGCAGATAAAGAGAAGTAAGAAGGAATTTGCTGGTAAGATTATAGGTGAATTCAAAGATGTGAGGGAGACAGAAGAGAATTGATATCATTATTGTTCAAACATTTTTACATTTTATCGTTCAGCATTCATATTACCTTTCTTCAATATTTTTATAATAACATTCTATTCTCCGGTAACATCTGCATTTA